ATGCAATCACTTAACTAGTTAATTAACATATCTAGTTCAGGAATTAACCTCGATCAGCAACACAAAATCATCTAAAATTTCCAGAAATTTCCAGCTATCTCGGATGAGGTTGCATGCGACATTTTTCTGTTTCATTTTTTTTTCTTCTGTAGCCGAGGTGTTTAGTTGCATGCTAAGCTTGAACACTTGGTTATTAACTAGCTAATCATATATGTTCAGATTACTCCTATTAAACCGAATTAAAGCTGAAATTCCAAATCAATCTCGCCGCAGCTTTTATTCTTCCAAAATCAGATTTCTTTTTCTTTTTTTTTTCTCTTGCTTTTTATCTCATCATCCGAACACATAAACATGGCATGCATGTCCTTAATCATCATGTTTTCACTTAGCTAATTACAATTTCAGGTTCAGATTACCAAAATAAAATAAATTGAAACCTACATTTCTTAATCACTCTCGCAAAATTCCATTTTCAGCGCACATCAGATTTTTCTCTCCTAAATCATCATCCGAATGATTAAGATCAACATGCAAGCTCTGATACGGCTTATTCTATCAGTAAATAGCTAATCTAAGTTTCTAATTTACCTCAGCTAGGAACTCAGCTCACGCACAAGAAAGCCGTGAACTTTTTCTCTCGGCTCGCGCACGCTGTTTGGTCCTGGTTTTCGGGTTGCAGCTGGAATGGTGTTGCGGTGAAGATGATTGCAGTTGGTTGAGGGTAAAGGGTGCAACAAGGGATGAAGCTCACACAGTGCTGCTCCCCTTTCTTCTCTCCAGCTCACGGGTAGGGCAGAAAAAGAATACAGCTCGCGGTTTCTTTTCTTTCCTCTCGAATGCACGAATGCAGCTCACACACTCTCTCTCTCTCTCGTCGATGATCACGAGGTGGAGTCTGGAGAGGGAGTGTTTGTGGTTGTGGTCTGAGGTGAATTGGTGCAGAGGAGGTGGAATGGTGGTGCGAGGTAGTGGTGATATAAGGGAAAAGAGGTGGTGCTCGGTTGAGTGTTTGTGAGGTTTGAGTGTTGGATTGGAGAAAATTTGCATTGGCCGATTGAAGAGGTTGGCTATGATGTTGTCCGAAAATGGTTTTGGGTTGCATGGTAGTTTTGTGGGGTAGTGGAGGGTAGTTTAGTCATTTCACATCTTCACCTAATATCCACGTACGTTCTAAATTCTAGTCTAACTCCAAAGTTTTATCCCAAATGAAATTTAAATGCCTAATAATGCACTAATTTCGCTAAAGTTTGGTTATCGAAATTTTTATATCTTAGGTGTATTTAATATACTTGTATCGATTTTGTCTAAACTTTATCGATTGCATTTTAATACTAGGGTTCCAAATAACCTTTATCATTATTAACGGTTAAAGTTTAGCTATCAGCATTCAAAAAAATTAATTGTTAAATCAATGAAATAATTTACCTTCGAAATATGACTTTAATGTAACAAAACTAAGAAATTTAATAGTTTAGCACAATTATTTTATTTTGCACACAAAATTTATTTCTACGCACTTATTTAAAAACAATTAGATTTAATGCTAAAATTTATTAAGGAATTACAAATGCAACATGAAATATGCACTGATATTTATATATACATTTTCAGGGTTCTCACATCCTCCCCTCCTTACAATGAATTTTGTCCTCAAAATTCACACTTTCTAAGAAAATAAATCGGGGTACTTTTTCTGCATTTCTTCTTCTAACTCCCAAGTGGCTTCCTCGAGTCCATGATTCTTCCATAAAATCTTCACCAGAGGAATTTTCTTATTTCTGAGTTCCTTTACTTCTCTTTCTAGGATCTTGACTGGTCCTTCCTCGTACGTTAATGACTCATCCAATTCAATTCCTTCCAATTGCAACACATGGCTTGAGTCGGGGTAATATTTCCTAAGTATGGAGACATGAAATACATTGTGAACCTTGGCCATGCTTACAGGCAGTTTCAACTGATATGCTACATTCCCGATCCGCTTCAAGATTTCAAAAGGTCCAATATACCTTGGTTTTAGTTTCTTACCCTTCTTGGACACTACTCCGCTCTTCAAGGGTTTAATTCTTAGGGAAACTTTGTCTCCTACTTCAAATTCCAAATCTTTCCTCCTTGTGTCGGCGTAGCTCTTTTGTCTACTCTGGGCAATTTGGAGCCTTTCTCTAATTAGCTTTACTTTCTCATGGGCCTCTTCTATCCAAGGTATAGCCGTTGGATCTACAATTTTCTTCTCTCCCACTTCATCCCAATGAATCGGAGATCGACACCTTCTCCCGTACAAAACTTCATAAGGTGTCATTTGAATCGAAACCTGATAGCTGTTATTATATGCGAATTCTACTAAGGTCATATATTGACTCCATTTACCTCCAAAATCCAATATACACGACCTCAGTAGATCCTCCAAAGTTTGAATTGTTCTTTCCGATTGCCCGTCGGTTTGGGGATGATACGCAGTGCTAAATTTCAATTTGGTCCCCAATGAATCTTGAAATTTTCTGCCAGAAACGAGAAACAAACCTTGGATCTCGATCAGATACGATACTTACAGGAATACCATGTAATCTTACTATCTCTTCTGTGTACAACTTGGCCAATTTCTCCAAAGAGAAACTCATGCTCACAGGTAGGAAATGTGCGGACTTAGTAAGTCGGTCAACTATCACCCAAATCGCATCAAATCCTTTTTGACTTTTAGGCAATCCCGTTACAAAATTCATTGTTATATGATCCCATTTCCATTCAGGAATTTCTAATGGTTGCAACAAACCCGAGGGTTTCTGATGTTCAGTTTTTACTTGTTGGCAGATCAAACATTTCTGTACAAACTCTGCCACGTCCTTTTTCAAACCTTCCCACCAATATAACCCCTTCACATCGTGATACATCTTAGTCACCCCTGGGTGTATCGTATACCTCGAACGATGTGATACCTCTAAAATTTCCTTCCTTAATTTTTCATCTGCCGGAACCACAATTCGATCCCGAAACCTCAATACTCCTTCAGTCCCTAATTTAAAATCTAGGGTTTCCCCTTTTTGCACCTTCTCCACATTCTTCTGAATTGTAGGATCCGTCTTCTGGGCCTCCTTAACACGCTCTAGTAATGGTGATTTCAATGACAAGTTCCCAAATATTATCTTCAATTTCTCCAAGCGAGGGTTCCAACTACTAACTTCTTCTAGCATGTCCCATTCTTTAACCATTAACCCTGCTACTTGGACCTTTCTACTTAGAGCGTCTGCTACCACATTGGTTTTTCCTGGGTGGTAGTTAATCGAACAATCGTAATCTTCCAAAAATTCTACCCATCGCCTCTGTCTCAAATTTAGTTCCTTTTGGGAGAACAAGTACTTGAGACTCTTGTGGTCCGTAAAAACTTCAAAAGTCACGCCGTACAAGTAATGTCTCCATTTCTTTAAGGCAAAAATCACCGCAGCCAATTCTAGGTCATGCGTTGGGTAATTTTGTTCATGAGGCTTCAATCTTCTAGAAGCATAGGCAACTACCTGGCTTTTTTGCATCAAAACACATCCTAAACCTTCTCTGGAAGCATCAGAGTATACGGCATAACCTTCTCCTCCATCAGGTAATACCAAAACAGGAGCGGATGTTAATCGCTTCTTTAACTCCCGAAAATTTGACTCACACTTCGGAGTTCAAATGAACTTATTCCCTTTCTTGGTTAGCTCGGTCATTGGTCCAGCAATCTTCGAGAAATCCTTGATGAATCGCCTATAATAGCCTGCTAATCCAAGAAACTTCTAACTTCGGTTGGAGTTTCTGGCTGCTTCCAATTCATAACGGCCTCAACTTTTGCCGGATCCACGGCAATTCCCTCTTTAGAGACTTTATGCCCTAGAAATGAAATTTCCTCCAACCAAAACTCGCACTTACTGAACTTGGCATATAACCTATGCTCTCTTAATATCTGCAAAACTATCTCCAAGTGCTTAACGTGTTCCTCTCGAGTCTTAGAGTATATCAGAATATCATCGATGAACACTACTACAAACTGATCCAGGTACTTCTTAAAGACTCTCTGCATTAGGTCCATGAAAGCAGCTGGTGCATTAGTTAACCAAAAGGTATGACTGCGAACTCAAAATGTCCATATCTTGTACTAAAAGCAGTCTTGGGTATATTCTCCTTCTTAATCTTCAACTGATAATACCCTTGCCTCAAGTCCAACTTAGAGAAAACTACCGATCCTTGCAGTTGGTCAAACAAACTATCAATCAATGACAGAGGGTATTTATTCTTAATTGTAACCTCATTTAACCCTCGGTAATTGATATATAACCTCAAGCTTCCGTCCTTTTTCTTGACAAATAAAACGGGTGCTCCTCAGGGTGAATCACTCTCATTCACAAAACCTTTCTCCAACAGGTCCTGCAATTGAATTTTTAACTCCTTTAGCTCGGCAGGAGCCATTCGGTACGGAGTTTTAGAAATCGGAGCCGTTCCCGGCACCAAGTCAATCTTGAATTCCACTTCTCTCTCTGGCGGTAAATTCTTTAGTTCTTCGGAAAAAACATCCGAAAATTCTCGTACCACTGGTACATATTCTAACTTCACTTGATCACTGGGAGCATTAATCAAAAAGGCTAAGAAACCTTGCGCTCCCTTAGACAACATTTTCCTCGCCCGTATTCTTGAGACTATAGCAGACGATGTTAACCTACCTTTAACATCTAACCTCAGGGTTGCTTCTCCAGGTATACAAAATTCTACCACTTTCGCTTGGCAATCAAGCTTAGCATGATGGTGGCCTAGGAAATCCATTCCTATGATAACATCATAATCTTTTATGTCCAAACTGATTAAATCCACTAGCATTTTTCGCTTTCCGATCCAGAATTCGCAATTCTTATAAGCTAAACTAGTGATTACATTCTTATTATCCATTGGTGTCCTAACTTCAAGATCAAAGGGTAATCTAACAGGTTTCACATCAATTCCAGACATAAAAGTTGGATTCACGAATGAATGAGTTGCACCAGGGTCAATTAATACTTTGACTAATCGATGAAAGATGGGAAGAGTACCTTCCACGACTTCCGAGGAGTCAGGTACAGGCTGGTCATCTATAGCGTATACCCTGGCAGGAACTGTCGGCCTATTCCCTCCAGAGTTGACTGGTCCAGCATTCAGGGTTCCATTGTCTTGTATTTTTGGGCAACCAGAAATTTGGTGCTCGCTATTTCGACACTTCAGGCACTTTCCTTGCTTCCTCCAGCAACCATCCACAGTATGACCGGGTCTCTTGCAGTACCCACAAGTTGTCTGTGGAGTTATCGCACGACCTTCTTGCGAGGCATTCTTAGGTTGGCCTCTTCCATTTGGTCCTCCTCTAGTCCCATTCTTTCCACCCCCTGCATTTCTATTCCGAGCTCCTCTTGCTAGAGCGCCTCGCGGTGCTCCAGAACTAATCACTCCACTCGTTCCTCGACCTACTTTGGCCGGTGGAGCATTTCCATAAGTCGACTCCCGACTACTACTATGAGCAAATCTTTTCTTGACCTGAAAAGATTTTACTTGGGCTCTGGCTACTTCAACCCGTTGGGCTCTCTCAACAGCGTCGGCAAAAGTGTCTATTCGAACAGCGGCTAATCCTTCTTGTATTTCCACGTTCAGTCCCTGCACAAACCTCCTGACACGTCTTTGCTCTGTGGCTATCAATTCAGGAGCATAACGGGACAATTTCGTGAATTGAGTCTCATACTCGGCGACACTCATCGTCCCTTGCTTGCATTTGATGAAATCATCCTCCCTCTTCTCTTGGATGAGAGGTGGGAGGAACTTAGCATTAAACTCCCTCGTGAAGTTTGCCCAAGTCCTAAGAGTATGGTTCCTATCCCAGTTAACCCTAACCAAATTCCACCAGGAGCGAGCAGCTCCCTTAAATTGGAATGCGGCGAAAGTCACCTGTCGCTCTTCCGTATAGTTTAAAGCTACGAAGATGTCGGAGATTCTCTCCCACCAACTTTCAGCTACTTCCGGTTCAGGTCCTCCATAAAATTTGGGAGGTCCGAACTTCAGAAACCTCTCCAGTGCCCGATCATCAGAATCGGCTGGACCTCCTTGGTGATGCACTGGTCCAGAGGCTTGATGTTCAATCAAGCGCTCTAAGACATCAGTGATACGATTGATTGCAGTGGCCACTTGGTCTTCGGCCACGCCCCCTTGCCCTTGGCCTAGATTGACCTCAGGTCCCATGTCACTACCACTCTCGGGGTGTTGTCTAGTTGGTATCCCACGTCCTCTACCCCTAACTTGGAGATCCATAACTTAATTATGCCTATTATTGAAAAATAAGACTATTAGGCGAGAATATTATTTGTTATTAGTTTTCTCTTTGTACATAAAATCAACATCAAAATTTGAGGAAAAGAAGAATAAAATGCTTAACATATATTCCACGCGAGAGTCATACAATAACGGGTTAGAACACTTTTCACAAGTAAGGCACATGAGTTTTAACAAAATACATACAAATAATCCCTTAAACAAAAAATTAGGGATGTGGTGCCTCAAAAGTAGGTCATCTAGTTAGACAAAATGCTATGACCTAAACTAGTGTCACCCTAACTAACCCTAGATACCTATTTACAGGCGGAGCAACCCTAGTCTAACCCTCAGCAGGGCTGCCAGGAGCAACATCCTCCTTTGGATCCTCCTCGGGGTCCTCCTCCGGATCCTCCTCGGGGTCCTCCTCCGGATCCTCTGCAACACCCGCCTGCTCGGCACCCTGAAGGATACCAGTGGCCTCGTCCATCATCATCGCGGCATCAGCCCTGATGCCGGCACTCCTATCACGGATCCCCTCAGCTAGTCGAGTCACCCTAGACCTCTGTCGCTCAATCTCCAAACGAGCAGTCTCCAACCTATTATGCTCAGCAGCTAGCCTGATCTCCAAATCGGCTATACGGTCAAACTGGGTATCCACCATGATATTCAGCTCCTCAACCTCCTGGGTCAAGGTGTGGTTAGCATCCCACAAATGGCGGCGCTCATCATCTGAGGACAACACCAAATCGTTGGGATACGCGTACGTGGCTCTACACTGGCATCTAGGGTGCCTATCAGCAGGTGAGTATCGAACTCGATCTCCTCCACCTCGAGGCCTATATGAAATAGATCTAAGTGGCTCCACGTGTCCATTGGACGCTCCATTACCATTAGCATGTCCATTACCGTTTTCCATACCTGCAAGATAGTTAAAACTTAAAGGTTAGAACTTAAATAGCTAACTGGTTCAGATATCACTTAAGGTATATCTAAAGGTCTCATTTCTTACTTCTAGAAAGGATTAGGGTTTCTAGCACATCTAATATATCTTTCAAATAACTTTTCTAACCTAGGCTCTGATACCACCTGTGGCGACCCCACTTCCCCCTAAGGCGAACCAGAGGGTTAGCGGGCCGTCTGCCCATCTCTCGCCAGGACTCACGCAAGCACACTAACCCAAATCCTTCCGAAGATTAACCTCATCTATTTCAAAGACGATTCTCCCAAAATGGCCAATTACTAAGCCCACGTTAACTTCAAAGATAACAGTAATTTAGAATAGCCAGTCGACGGCTCCTAAGCATCTCACGCGTTACAGCCAAGGAATAAGGTCGTACAATTCCGGATATACAATTTCATACACCACAATTACAAACATACAAGCCAAACATTCGAATTAGGGTTTACACATTTTCCAACTTCAAGTGGCAATCCAATGCCAAAAGTACGTGGTTTAAATTAAAGCACAATACAACCCGAAAGAGAAGCCATAATATTCATATACATAAAAAAAAAAACATAGATAAGTTTCAAGGCTTTCAATTGCCAGAACCTGTCAAGAAAAACAAATAAACGTGGGGTGAGTTAAAACTCAGTGGTGCCCCAAAACATGCAATTAAATAAAACAACTAACACGTATTGATTTCAACTGAAGTAAACAACTAGGAAAGCGCATAACAGTACAAGGTAGGATACGGGGGCTCTCAGGAGCCATTTTTCGCGCTTGATCAAAATTTACCGTAGTTGACCCTCCGTCAACTCTCACTACTTACGATCCATGTAGAACTCCTTATTTTACTTAACTCCGGCCACCGATCATACCCCAACTCTGGGCCCGCACGACAAAATAAATGAGAGCGGTAGTACTCGAGTATACCCCCTGGATAAACTAATCGAGTGATTCACCCAACGACGTCACGAAATAAGAAAGCAGTAATATTCGAATATACCCTTTGGATAATTAGTCGAGGGTTTCACCCAACGACGTCACGAAATAAGAAAGCAGTAATATTCGAATATACCCTTTGGATAATTAGTCGAGGGATTCACCCAACGACGTCACAACACTTAAGATATTCACGAAAACACTTCACACAAGTCACCACTCGAACGGCTAGTGTGATAAAGTACACACTGCTCACTTCGATGGATCAGAAATCATTTTTGGCAATTACCACATATCGAGTCAAGAAAGCACTTTAACCAAATAGGCATAGAACAAGCAGGGACACTCACCTAGGAGTGAAGCTCAAAGGTCAAGCTGGGAATCAAAATCCGCGTCCTCGCTAAACCCTAAAATACCAAATTTTAAAACTATAAGTTGGCTATACCAGCTCTAGGGTCACGTAGGGAATTTATTCGCATGTATGACTGATTTATTTTCTTGAAACAAGTCGACAAACCATGTAGTATTAAAACTAGTAAAATACTTTGTAAACTTTCCTTAGTATTACTTTTCTTGTAAAAGTGTTACTAGAACTAATTTACGTGAAATAATGTTTCTTGCCGAGCAAGCTTTCTACGCTTTTAGCTAAAGTTAGTAAAGACTCGCATTTTGTAACTTTTCCTATAGACAGCTAGCCAAGGACAAATCTTAAGAAAGAAAAGGAATTGAAACAAGACTTAGGTTTTTTTTTAAAGCTAGAAAAAAAAATTATTTTCCATAACCATTAAGGCTAGTTTAAGCTAAAGGAATCTTGTAGGGTTGGCAAAATTTAGGGCAAAATACTAAATACTGAATTTTATCGTTTAATACTAGCGTAAAAATATTTTTGATTAGCTTGATCAAAATTGCTCGAGTTCACAGGGTCGAAACGACTTTCACAACTTTTATTTCAAACTTGCTACGCTCACTCTAAAACAATGTGCAAATTTATTGTGCAGGATTTTTGCCTTTGCTTTCAATCATTGTGCTCCAATATGCAGTTGCTGACTGCTTGTTTTTACAAAAATACAAACTAATGGTGTATCTCCATAAGATTCTGTATAAACCAGTAGACAGACACGTTCGTAGTTTAGAAAACATATTTCATCACCAAACAGGGCAACCTCGCGGTTTGCTTCATGCCCACGTCAACTAGTATAATTTTTCAAGAAACAAGAAGTCTGCATTTTCCCACTAATCAAGGCCCAAGGGAAGCATCTACTTCTTTTTCTCTCTCCATCTCATAATTTGTCTCTCTCTTTGTTTCTCACCTAAGTGGTATCTTTCAATTTTCTTTATTTCACTCCATTTCAATTTCTTTATACCCTAGATCTTTTCTATCTTAAGATCATGAAGAAATCTTATATATGTTTTGAACTTTATTTGTTGCAGACTTCCAGGGATGAAGATTTGTAGGAAGCTTCTCTACTTGCAACATAATGTCAAATTTGATCCTTAGGTAAATTTTTGGTTGGAAAATATTCAATAATTTTTAGATTCTTAGTTGTACTATTATATATGTTGAGAAAGTATTCATGTTTTATTTGGACAGATTTGCTTTATGAATTGTAATATGATTATTAATTTTTAAAGATATTATGTGAGTCTATATTTTTTGAGTTCCTCTCTTCCCTTTCTCCTCACAAAGAAGGAAATGGAGTATAGATTGGCTTATTTTACCGTTTGCTGTATTTGAAATTGTAACATGGAGAGAGCACGAAAAACTTAGGATGTTATTTGAATAGAGACAAATTGAGACGAAAATATTGGTTTGTGAAGACTTAGGCCTAGGATATGTACATGTACTCTAAAGCCCTAATGAACAAGGTATTGTTTAACTTTTTTTTTTGTCTCTTTTTAAATCTTCAATTTTATCCTCACAAGTCACAATCTCTTAATTATAACTTTGATATCTAATCACATGTTGCCTATATTACCAACAAATATAACCACAACTAATTTTCACCCATAATCACTCACAATCACTTAATTAGACCTTCATATTGACATCTGATCATATGTTGCCTATATTGCCAACCAATATAACCACAACTAACTTTCACCCATAACCACTCACAAATATTGTAACCACCAACTTCATTAAAATTTTAGAGTAAATTTTATATACATTGACATATATATATATTATCACCGTTTGATCCATGATATATATACAAAAGTTGAATTTCAAATTCAAATTTTGCATAGTTGTCATTCATTCAATGCTGATAGTGTATATAAACTGTCAGTATAGGAAAGATTAATCCAAATTTTTTATTGATAAACTTTAGATGTGGTAGACTTTTTAAAATGATCTAAGCAACAAGGTCATTAAAATTTTAAAAAAAAAAAAGACGAATCTTTAGGCTTAGACATTTTCAAACCTGAATTGCATTTAGATTGATAAAAAGGTCATCTCAACTTGAATCATATAATCAAAGCTAAAACACAAACGAACTATTCAAACTCTCAATAAATCTAATCAACCTCAAAATATATCAGTTTAAATTTTTATATTACTTCTATACTATCCAAATAATAAAAAACTCTTAGTAATTTAATGTAAGAATATTCAGATACTATATATATATCAAAGCACTTAGAAGGCACATGATTGTAAAAACTTGATGGCTCTCCTATGTAATTGAATCAAAAGACTGAGATTGCGCTTGTAGAAAATTCCCAAAAATGTCAAGCCAGGTTCAAGCTTAATGAGCCCTTCTGATCCATTTCCCAAGTCACTAGCTCGCCAACCATCTCCGTTTCCTGTATCATGGACCAGACACGGTGGAGAAGCTATTGGATAGACACGTGCCGAAAAAGAAAAGAGCTTGGACAATGACGAAAATGAGTTCTTGACTCGTCAATGACTCACCAGCACCCGTCGTGAGGTGCTGAGTCTCTACTGAGATATCATTCGGGCGGCTGGATTCCAGGGGCATTCTCTAGCATGATGTTCTTACAGAGAATGCCTGGAAAGAGTTCAAGGAGGCCCGATTCGAACAAAATCTAAAAATTATAATCCAGTTACTAATCGGTGATCTTGATGCCATCCAAGCCATGCTAGATAAGC